TAGTTTGGCCATAAAAATAAAGTCAAGGACCCTTAATTCCTCCTCAAGGGCTATAGATAATATTCTGAGTCATATTCTGTGAACTATCTTGCTGATAACATAACCTTCACCAGGCAGAGAAGTTAATTACACGATGACCAGATTACAGCCAAGACATAAGCCTCTCTCATCTTGCACAGTTCTAAGAACTGGCCTCAAGGAAATGGAAACAAACCAACTTTGGAGCTCAAGATTTGCCATACTTAGAATAACCAAGGTGATACTGGCCAGACCACTGCGTGACCAAGTTCAAGATAAGTGCTTAAGCCGAGCATGCTGGTTTCTACCCCCTTTGCATGTAAATTCCTGAAATTTCCCCTTAAAAGCTCTTGCCCACTGATTGACAATCAAGAGTTGATTTTTTGAGACATAAGTCCACCTTCACCCCAAGATTGCCAGGTTCCTCAATAAAGCTACATTTCTTTTTACCCAACGCTTGTTTCTCAGTATTGGATTCTTGAACAATGAGCAGCCAAAATTGAATATCATAAGAACATCAAGAGGGACAGTGGGGCAGAGCTCCAGGTGGGAGAGAAATGGTCTGTTTGGGGAAGTTTGTCTCAGCATTGGGGGCTGTTAAGATCTCTCTCTGGGTTACCCCAATGGGATTTTTTAAATGATTGATGTCACAGTTGTCCAACAGCATCCCCATCAATGCACATGGGTTACCATCTGGTGTCCTTCCATATCATCCTCTGTCTGCCCAAGTCATTCCATGACCTCCCAGGCATCCCTGTGGTCTCCCAGGCCTGCCAGTGTCTTCCTATGTCTCTGTCTCTCTCCTCTCTCTCTCTTTCCCTGTATGTGTATGTGTGTTTCTGTTTCTCTCTCTTTCTCTTTCTCTCTGTCTATCTCTGTATCTATTTCTCTCTCACTGTCTCTCCTTCAGAAAAACATCTACTTCTGCTTTATTGACTACGCCAAAGCCTTTGACTGTGTGGATCACAATAAACTGGAAAATTCTGAAAGAGATGGGAATACCAGACCACCTGACCTGCCTCTTGAGAAATCTGTATACAGGTCAAGAAGCAACAGTTAGAACTGAACATGGAACAACAGACTGGTGCCAAATAGGAAAAGGAGTACATCAAGGCTGTCTATCGCCATCCTGCTTATTTAACTTAAATGAAGAGTACGTCATGAGAAATGCTGGGCTGGAGGAAGCACAAGCTGGAATCAAGATTGCCGGGAGAAATATCAATAACCTCAGATATGCAGATGACACAATCCTTATGGCAGAAAGTGAAGAAGAGCTAAAAAGCCTCTTGATGAAAGTGAAAGAGGAGAGTGAAAAAGTTGGCTTAAAGCTCAACAATCAGAAGACTAAGATCATGGCATCTGGTCCCATCACTTCATGGCAAATAGATGGGGAAACAATGGAAACAGTGAGAGACTTTAATTTGGGGGGCTCCAAAATCACTGCAGATGGTGACTGCAGCTATGAAATTAAAAGATATTTGCTCCTTGGAAGAAAAGTATGACCAACACAGACAGCATATTTTTAAGACATCACTTTGCCAACAAAGCTATAGTTTTTTCAGTAGTCATGTATGGATGTCAGAGTTGGACCATAAAGAAAGCTGAGCATGGAAAAATTGATGCTTTTGAACCGTGATGTTGGAGACGACTCTTGAGAGTCCCTTGGAGTGCAAAGGAGACCAAACCAGTCAATCCTAAAAGAAATGAGTCCTGAATATTCATCAGAAGGACTGATGCTAAAGTTGAAACTCCAATACTTTGGCCACCTGATGTGAAGCAGGCTACAGTTCACTGGATCACAAGAGTTGGACACGACTTAGCAGCTGACAAGGCAATCCTTACAGTTGTCTTGAAGCCCCAGGAATGGCTGACACATGCTACCTGCCCTGGCTTACTCCACACTCATCCAGCCTTATTTCCTCCAGAATGCTCACTGACTACCCAAGTAAGATCTCACCAACTGAGAGCCTTACCTCAGCTACTCCTAGTGTAGGAGATCAACTGCTGTTGTAAACCATTTATTGCTCACGTGGGAATCACCAAGGGCTAGCACTGACTAGTGCCAAGGTAGACATCCACTGCTAGTGCAGGGGCTCACCCACTGTAAGATCCGTTGGTGTTACCCCTCACTCACAAGATTTCAGGTCATGTCCACGAGCCCGCATGTTCTTTGTGATCTGAGCCTAGAACACTGGGTGGCACCCCTGGGATGCGGGGATATTTGTAAAGCTGAAGATCAGTCTGTTTGCCAACAGGTGTCAGTGAAGCTCATTTTCTTTTTCCTCTCAACTGGTGGAGGGTAGCAGAATGTCACCCCAAAACCATTCATTTGCCATAGATTATGTAATCAAGCAGACCCTATGGGGCTTTCTCGGGACAGACCTTTCCTCCTTTCCCCATGTCCTCTGCTACAGTTCCTCTCTGGAGTACACAAATAACAGTAGCCGATGCACAATCCCTGAATTGTTTCTACAAATGCTAAAACCATCAAATGGAAGAAACCACTTGATGATCTGGACCCCGAGACCTACTGGAGCCTAAGGTTGGTTAATATCAGCCACTCTGCTCTCTCACCATCAACCAGAGAACCGTGTGCACGAGCTGATGGCATACCTTGAGCTCCCCCCTCCCTCACCTGGCCTTTAAGACTGCCTGGTTGAAACCTTTCAGGGGGTCTGGGGTTTTAGAGTGCCCTGCCCTCCCACTGTTGGTGCCTTTACGGTAAATACTGCATTTCCCCCGCACTGCCCGGGGCTAGTGGGCTGGCTTTACTGCTCGTTGGCAAGCCAACCCAAGTTTGGCTTGGTAACAATTATTGTGAGCTGGAGGTATTTAAGAAGCAAATATAAGGTCCCTGCCTTTCCCCTTCTGTCTAAAAGCAGGACATACATTTTCAGAGTTATCTCTGTTCCCCCCTCCACAAGAAAGATGTGGAGACTCTAGATCCTATCAGTTTAGAGATTGAGGGGATGGGGATCTACATATAACAAACCAAACTAACTGGCCTTAGCTACCATCAGTTTACCTGCCTGTTCTGCCACCCTTGGAAGCCTAAGGCTGCTTTCCCTGTCTTGTCATTTCTCCATAAACATTGTTCTTTGTTGAAGACGGTATCTAAGCCAGAGATCTAAGCTGCTGTTCTAAGTCACTCATTTTCCTGGGGCTTCTTCTATGTATACCTGAGGCATTCACGTCAATAAACTTTTGTTTTTCTGTTATTTTTATTTAAAGGTCTCAACCAAGAACTCAGAAGGGTTGGGGGGAAATGATTTTCCTCCCCCACACTTGTGTTCAGCTTTGTTCAAAAGCTGAAGCCAGAAGTATCTTGGTGTCCTGGCAGCAGTTCCATGCTCATTCATTAAACCCATGAGACTTCCACAGAATAGGTTTCCAAAAGCCATTGCTGAAGTCCCAAACCTTAAAATCTGAATCTTTCTCCAGGCAGGAACCAAATAGTATGCTCAGATTTCCAGGAGGAAATGAAGCAGTGGGCCCAGTTACTTATGATTACTGGGATATCATATGGGAATAATTTTCTACTGGGAAAAAAAAAAAAAAAAAGGCCAGACCCGTGACTCAACTGGGAAAACACTTCCCCCTGTTGTATGTAATTGGAAGGAACTGCTGTTAAAAGATACTCAAAAGTGGTGTATATATAGTCACAACAACAAAAAAGCCCAAGAAAAGAATGGGAGAATGAGTAAATAAATAAGTAAATGAAAAAGTACTGGCTATTGAACACAGTGGAACATAGGAAATATTTATCAGGTTATCTGTAAAAAGGAAAAAAATCCCCACAGTATCCGCAGGAAATGAACACACGTGCTGAGTCAAAGAACATGGAGATGGTATCCGGGAGTTGCTGTGCTTGTGCGGACAGCAGCTACATCCCTGACTTGGCCAGTGAGCATCCTGCTTCTGCATCCCCTCCCCGAGGGTGGGCCCTCTGGAGGATTTCCCCACTTCCCAACCTTAAGGACAACTGTTAGTTTATTTACTATGAGAATGGCCCTTACAATTAATCAAAATCTAGGGGTGCAGAGACACTGCATCACACCTTCTTGAGAAGGGTGAAGAAGTGTCAAAACTTAAAGCAAAAACAAACCCTGGACTCTGTAAGCCAGGGCTGTCTGTGGCCTCACCCCCTGCCCCAGGCAGGAGTGACACTCTGGGCTGAGTTCGGGGATAGCCCCACGGGTCACTGGAAACACGCCTGAGAGGGCAAGGCCAGCCTGCTCTCCTCAGTGCCACTCGGGTGGAAACTGAAGCTGTGTCCCTTCTGAGCTTCACACTCACTTCCATGCGCTCAGAACTCCCAGAACTGAACCTCTGCGCCTGGGACCAGGGAAGGACCTTTTCCCAGAAGCCCTGGGTGGGCCACGCTCAGGGTGATTTGAGGACGTCTGTGTGTCTTAATCAACCCCTTAATTCGGTGACTCACTTTCCACATCACCTCTCACCTGAGGACTCTGCTGCACCCCCAAACAATCAGAGACAACCACAGACTTCCCCAGCAGTTTGGACCAGACCCCAAGTCAGGCTGGTGGGCTCTGAACCACCTCATGGCCAGCAGTCTCACAAGATAGTAGCTTTCTCAAGGGGTGGCCCCAGGGCCTGGGGGGCTCACACTGCAGCCTGAGTAAATTCTACAGGCTCTCATCTCTTACCCGAGACTGAGGCTGGGCAAGGCGGGCTGCTGAGGCCCCAGGCTCCGGGCTCCGCAAAGGACTGTGGGTGTGATGCACTGGTGAATGGGGTCTCAGCACCTGATGACCTTGCGGGGTCCTGGGGCGAGGAAAGCCCAGCCTGCACACACTCATCCATGGCTTCCTGGGAGTGGCAGTGACAGAGTTCAGCTTGCTCCTCGATCTGAGTGGTCCTATGGGTGCTTTCCATAGCTCAGAAGACAAGCAGCCTCCCCTTGGGTTTTCAAAGCATCTCGCAGACTCAGAAGGCAGGACAAGGGGCTGCGAGAGGCCTGCTCACTGGGGAGCCAGTCCGTCCCCGGGCCCGCCTTTCAGCCTGCAGATGGTCATAGGGGTCGGGCTGCTAGAGAGAGGAGAGAAGAGGGCCCGCAGGGTCCCCGAGAAGGGCGTCTCAGGAAAGGTATACAAGAGTGACCCATCATTGGCACTGTAGAAGGACAGGTGTCCAGCCTCGTAGTCCAGAAAGATGCCCACGCGGCGGGGTGGGTCTCGGAGAGGGGCAAAAGCTCGCTCGGAGGAGTTGTAGTAGCTTCCCAGGAACACCAGGATCCAGAAGCCATTGCCAGCAAACAGCTCGCCCTTCTCCTTGCGGTTGGCGTTCTCTCTGCAGACACCCAGGGCCCAGCTGGCCCGCTCCCCCACCTCCACCTCCCAGTAGTGGCGGCCCGAGGTCAGGGGCTCCCGGCCCAGCACACAAGGCCCAGGGTCGAACCGCTCGGGGCTGTCGGGCAGGGCCTGCCGCAGGTCCCCGCGCCGCACGCTCCTCCTGTCCTCAGACAGCACCAGCTCAGGGTTGGCCGTGTCAGGATCCAAGGTCATGTCCCCTGCAGACAGAGCACGGGTCAACCCTCCCAGCTGTCTGCTTCAGATCCCTACACCCTTGCAGTCACAGCTTGTGACTGACCACACCCCTTCCCGCTCAAAAAGATTACCCAACCACTTAAGAGTTGTATCTTGGAACATTCTAGAAATTAGTTCATGCTTCCTTGTGATTCACCCTCCTTTAGAGGACAGAAAGAAATCCTGAGTGCTTTCTACCCCCAGAGGGAAGCGTGTGTATTCCAGGGCAGCAGGCTCCCCAAGCCTAGGGTCCACACAGGTGCTCTGTATTTCTGCTCTTCCTAAATGCATCAGTGCAAAGTCTGGACCTGACTTGCTATCTTATCTGCCCAAGGGCCTCGACCCGCTCCTAGTTTCTCATCCAGGGACTGGGAGCTTGCTGCTGTTCTACCCCCGACCAGCAGCAGCAGCTCGGGACTGGCGCCGTCGCTGGTCTGGAGACAGCAGGCGGGACCCCCGGCCTGTGCACGGCACTCACCTCGGAACCTCCGCAAGGCCTCCACCAGCCCAGGGACCCTGCACACAGTCCTCATCTCCATAGGCACCACCTCAGGAGGCTGCAGCTTCACGTCCTGGGCTCTGGAGGGGCAGTGCAGATGTCACCCCCGCCGAGGGCCCGCCTGAGCCCTGCCCCCCTTCCCTGGGGAGAGGCCGAAGCTCCTACCTGCGCAGGGTGTCCCTGATATCCTGTGGGAGAGACACACAGCGTCAGCACGTCTCCTGTCTCGGGCCTGCCCTACACCACAGTGCCCCCAGACCTCCTGGACGGGCATGGACACACACACACTTATGTGGCGGGAAACCACTCCGGAGCTGTCCTGAGTCAGGCATGAGGTCACCGGAGAGAAGCTCTGGGCGCACCCAGCCCTGCAGACCCGGCTGCAGCCCCTTCACATGCCTGGAGGGCACAGCGGATCTGGCTGCCAGCCCACTTACCCACAGAGCCCTAGGCACCCCTCCAGAGGTTGAGGGCTGTCTCCACCTTAGCCCGGAGCCATGCCTCTATCAGCCGAGCACTTCCTGCCCCCTAGGCCCGAGGCGGCTGGTGGTCTGGTGTCTGTGGTCTCTGCCCCCCTGTCCTACAGGCGCTCCCGCCTGGCCTGCACCGGCTGCCATGCCTCAGGTCCCCACTCACAGCTGGCCTTCCTGGTAAGGCCTCTCTGCCTGCATGCTCCTCTCTCTGGTGATGATACGTAAGAACAGTTTACTCAAGGATCATAAAATGATTGTCCCCCCAGATCCAAGGCACTCCCTGCAGCAGGTCTCCTGACCAACACTGTGGGCCAAGGGTCAGCCCACCTGACCTCCCCCACATGCCTCAGTAAACACGGTGCTACCCAGGGCTGCTCTTCCCCCAGCACAGGCAAAGGTTGGTGCGGGGGGAGAATGGGGGGCATCTTTTCTGCAGTCAGCCAGGTGAACAGGGAACTGAGAGGATGGCCAAGGCCAGGAGATATGAGCACTTGGGAAGGTAGGGGAGTAGTGGTGAGCAGTGGAGGGCAGATAGGGCAGTAAGGAAAAGGCAGCAGGGAGTGAAGGGCAGGAAATGCAGCCAGGCCAGCTGAGGTCAATCCCTCACCGAGAGATCTCAACTGAGACCCCACATTGCATTTCATATAAATCTGCGGTTCTCATCTTTCTGGACCAATCTGCCCTCCCTCTAGAACCTCTGCTTCCCACAGCTTTTCCAGCACCATTCACTCACCTTTGAGGGCTGCTCCCTATCATCCCTTAGCTGCCTGCCTAGCCCCCATCTTACTCACCTCTGCTGACTTCCCTCAACCCCTACCACACACTTGCCCAGATTCCTCCTGCTTCCCAGGCTGAAAAACCACTGTTGGCTCAGCAAAGGCCAAAAGAATGTTTTAGCCATAGGATGGCAGCCTGAAGCTGGTCCTTAAAGGTTCACTCAGCTCTGAAGCTCCAAGGAGGGTCACCTCCTGCAGGAAGCCCCCTGGACTGCACATGCAGTGTCCTCACTCCCACCTGAGGGCACAAAGTGCTGGGGCCAGGAGTCCAGCAGATTCTCAGGGGCAGCACTGGGCCCATGCAGGAATCACTGTGGGAGACCTGCAGGCTTTTCCTCTCAGCCCAGTGGGCCCAAACTTTCAGAGAGCTGGGTGGTGACCCAGTGGCTCTAGATCCTGGGATGCCACCCTGTGGCCTGGCCAGTCTCCAGGAGGGCTCCCAGGACAGGCACTAATAGTTCACGCAGCTCAGCATTGGGGTCTACTCTCCATGTTTCACAGGAAGGTGACTAGCTATTGACCTGGGAGGTCCAGGCAAGCATTAAGGTAGTCGGCTTTCTCTGCACAATGCTTCCCCCGCTTTTCTCTCCATTCCCACACCTGGCCTTCCCCTGAGACCCCCACAGGCCCACGCCCAGAAGGGGTGCCAGCTCACCTGCAGCAGCCCCAGTGCAGGCAGCTGGCAGCGGCCCTCCAGCTCGGTGATCAGCTCAGCCAGCTGGGCGCTCTGCTGTCCGAGGCGGGCCGCGCTCTCCCTCAAGGGGGGCAGCACCTCCAGCTCCTCCTCTTCCAGCCTCTGCAGCAGCAGCTGCTCCTCCTCCACAAGCAGACGGCGCAGCCTCTCAAACTCTGTCAGGACGTTCTGCCGCTGGGTCTCCACCATCTTCTGTGGGGGCCGGGGAGGATGGCTGAGGGCCTGGGACCTGGAGCCTCATTAATCCATCTGGGGTCCCCCACACCCACTCCTTTCTGACCCCAAAGCACTGCACCACCAGGGGCACCCAACAAACCCAGGGGGACTAAGTGTCCCCCCAAACCCCAACTTTACCACCCAACACATTCCCAATTTCCATTTCCCCAACCCTCAAAGCCACGATCTGGGATCACCCCCACACCCATCCCTCCCCACGCCTCAAACCCGCCACCTGGGACCCCCCATGGCTGGCCCTCCCAGACACCCATTCCTGAGTGCCAAACCCACTGAGTTTACACGGGGTATACACGGGGTCTGGAGCAAGAGTGCTGCCTCAGGAGCAGCACGAGGCTGAATATGAACAGCAGGGTCCTGTGGTCCCTCATGCCCCCCATCCCTGCCCACACTGGGTGCCTGGCCACCTGCCTGCCACAGGGAGCAGGTCTCCTCCGCTTGGGCCTGGAACAGTAGAGCATCCTCCATTTGCTTCCGCAGGTGCTCCAGGGATTTCTCCAGTTTGATCTGCAGGGAGGTGAGGCCAGAGTGCTTTTATACATGCTCCCACCTGCTCAACTCCTGCTAAGCCTGAACTCAGCTGGCAGGGACCAGTAGCAGAAAAATGGGTCTGGGACATAGTAAGTCCCAAACGCAAATTTGCCAGGAGATGCTCTCTGACTGGTGTGGCCCTTCCACCACTGTCCTCACAAGCATGGCTTTCCTGCTACTGCCCCTTGGCTGAATTTCATCTGTGGTTCCCGTGCCTCCCTCATCTCAGGGCAACTTTCCCACAAGCCAGTTTCCACTGCATCACCACCTTCTTTCTTCCAAACCCCGTCACTTCTCTCTGCCTGGTCTGGGCTTGCTGGATTTCAGCTAACTAGAACACATGGCAGGACGGGCTTACATTTGTATCCAGTTCCTTGGTCCTGATTTCAGGCCTATGCCTGACATTGCCTTCAACCCTGTTTATGACACATTCAGCACCTGGTAAAGCCAGAAGGCCTAAAGGACTATCACAAGAGTGACCACAGCGGCGCTTGTGGGGTTTCTACTGTTCTGTCCATGTTCTAGACACACCAGGGCCCTGAGAGGCTGCGCTTTGTAGAGTCAGCGCTTCCGGGCTGTGCAGATAGCAGCCAGGGCCCTCTGATGGGCATCCTCCCCAGCACTAAAAGCAAGCACCAGACAGTGAAGGGGACTGGGTCATGATGCTATGGTACCTACATTACTGAGAGCTGAGATTTCAGAAACAGCAGCGCTCTCTGCTCTCCTCCTTTCAGCATTTTCCAAGAGAAAGGTGCCTCCCCTTTACCAGGAAGCGGGGGGGCACTCATCACCCAGAGGCAAGCTGCTGCCACCGAGGTAAGTCTACCTTCTCACCTGTTGATCTCTTCTGTCACTCTAATTTGCAGGCCTGAGTTACAGAACGTCATATGCTAGAGGAAAAGGCTTTTCCTCCCCTGGGAGAGGGAGGGTTACGTGCTACCATGGGAGACTTTATCAGGTCAGTTGGAAGATGCCTCTCGAGAGCTCCTGGTCATTCTCTGCTCCTCCGGTCACTATCCATACCCTGACCAGGAGCCTCAGCGACAGGAGCGCAAATCTGCCAGACTGACATAAGGAGTGGGTGTTCAAGTATGCACATTACACCTCAAAGTGAGGGAAAAAACCACAAGAACGTGTTAGGACAAGTCCAGTGACGTGGGTTGGGTATAGGTTTATTCTGTTGTCCCAGAGGCTTATTCTATGATGATGATAGAATAGCAATCCTATCGCTGACTAAACTGTGTACTTGAGGCACCTCAGCAGCAGACAGTACCGGCCATAAAGAGAAATGAAAATCACAGTCAAAAAGTTTGAAAGAGATCACCCACAGACTTTATGCTTTGGGTTTCAGAAGCAAACCCGCCCACAGACCAGGGAGGGAGCAGGCAGTTGGCCAGGTAAACGTTTGTCCTGAGGCTCTCAGCAGAGAGTGCTGTGTTAGTTTGTATTTTAAGAAATACATTTCCATAACAGAGAAACAGGGCATCTCTGCCTTGTCTACTGGCAGAGTATGCAAACGGGAAACACTGGTGGGCTCTGGCTCCCAGAGCAATGGCTCCATCCTACGTTGTTCCCAGCCTGGGGCTCTATAGCAGCTCCCTGGCTGCCTTCCCATCCGGCCCAATCAGAACTTCAGCACTGATGTGGGCCCCACAGCCCTACTCTGCCCACAGACCTCTGAGAACTCATGCACGTCCATCTGGGACCAGCCACCTCTCAGGCTCCCTTCCCACTTTCTCCTACTCTCGGCTCCGTCTCTGCCAACGGTCAGTCAAAACTGCCCAGTCCCCACCCCGGACAGCCCTCCCACCGCCTCTTTGGGATCTAGACTTCAGAAAGCTCGTCCCCTCCCCGCCCAGGTTCCTAGGCCAGCCCCTCACTGGTGGGCGGTGCCCCAACCCCCTGGAACGCTGGTTTGGAACAGGCTGCACCCCCTCACACACCCCCGAGACCCGGGGCAGGCTAGAACCTGAGCCCGCGACATCGGGCAAGATGCGCCCCCTCCAGGCTCGGGCCCCCCACCCGCGCCGCGGCGATCCCCTGCCAAGCCGTGCTCTGCCCGGGACTTGCCCACACCTTAAGGTCTTCGGCCGCGTCCTGCAGCGGGCGCACGCGGTGCGCCCAGTGTTCCCCTGAACGCTCGCAGGCCGCGCACAGAAGGCGCAGCTCGTCGCCGCAGAAGGCGGCCAGCGGCTCGCGGTGCGCTGCGCACACTCCCTGCGGAACAGGCGACGGTGGGTGCAGGCGCCGCGCCATCTCGGCCATCTTGGCGAGCGGGCGGTTGGGTCGCAGGTTCCTCTGCGGGAACAGCTCGCGGCACTCGGGGCAGGCGTACGGGCCCTCGGGCTGACCCCAGCAGCGCCGGATGCACTCGCGGCAGAAGTTGTGGCCGCAGTCGGTCATCACTGGATCCGTGAAGTAGTCGAGGCAGATGGCGCAGGTGGCCTCCTCTTGGAGGTTGGTCGACAGGTCGGGTGCGGCCATGGCCCCAGTGGAATGGACGAGGGCCGCGTTCTCCGCCGGGTTAGGCGGCCGCTGCCGGGACTCTGGGGAGGGGGCGGGGACACGCGCGCGGAGCAGGGCACCAGGGGATTCGGGGAGCTTCGGCGCGTAGGGTCTCCGGGGTCCGAGGCCTCTCGATTCCGAGGATACGGAGCGTGCGGCTCCGGGACTGCGGCGGCTCCAGGAAGGTAGGGCTTACGGATCCCGTTTGCAGGCAGGAAGGGGAGCTCGGCAGCAGCGGAAGCAGGAAGCAGCTTTTCCCCTTCTGGAACCGCCCACTGTAGCTCCGGATTGGCCGTGGTCTGTCACGCGGCCTCCAGCGGCACCCAACTGGAGGCTGCTCACCCACTGACCTTGCGTCGCCGCCGCCACCTGCGCGCGAGTTCGTGGCTGTCTGTGGGTTGCTGCGGCTCTGCGGTACCTGCTGTCTCCCTTGGACTTCGGGGAACGTGAGGTTTAGGGCCCGGGGCCGCTCCGCGATGCGCAGAGGCGGCGAGGACAAGGGGAAGCCGAGGTTGTGCTGGGGAGCCCCAAGTGGTCCCCCGTGCGCTCCTGGCTCCTCGCAGGTCCCCGGGCTGGGAACGATCAGAACTTAAGGTGTCGGGGCTCGGTCCACTGGGACTGTTGGCCTTGTTCGGGGTCAGAGTACATTGGCCAGAATTCTGGGGTTCTGGGGTTCCCCGGTTGTTAATGTGTCTGCAGTCATGGGGGTCGAGGGTAGGATGGGCGGTGGAGATTGAGTTAACGACAGGGACCCTGTCTGATCCTACTCTGAATTTTGCCCAGCAAAGGTGGGCAGCTCTGAGGCTTGTTGGAATTCAGCTTGAAAAATCCCTTCACTTTTTCATCTCCCCCCTGTGAAGGACCCAGATATGGAATTTGCTGAGGACAAAGAAGGTAGACACTTGAGGCCTTGGCTCTACATATAAAAACCTGAACCACTGAGCCACCAGTGAATGGCAACATCTCTAAGTGGAGAGAAGGGGGCATGGCTAAAGAAAACTACACCACACTGTGCCTTGTACATATACATGTATGTGTTTAGAAACTGACCCACTATGAAAGTTTTCTGTGTGAAGCATCTGTAAATATCGACTCTTAATGCTTAACTGCTTTAATCATGGTTATATTTCCACTTTGTAAAACCAGCCTGCACAGCCGATGGCTTGCAAATGCCTCATTCGCGATAAGCTGGGCAGGTGGGCCTTGCTGAGCGGGACCAACCTCACCTTCTGGAGAAAGGAGGGTTGCCCAGGCTTCACCAGCCTGCGCCTCTATCCCTTCACCCACAGAGTCACTGTAGAGATGACCATCTGGCCTGATTTGGGGGCCCCAAGGCAGAAGAAGGGCTGCAGGGGGCCAGGGAAGGCAGGCTGAGAGTAGGTATGCAGGTGGGACCCATTGTTCACATTGTAGAAGGACACCTCTCCAGCTTCAAAATCCAGGAAGATGCCCATGTGGCTCGGAGGCTCGGTCAGTGTGACGGGAGTTGGGGGAAACGTGGCAGGTGCGTACCTCTTTCCCTTGCATAGCTGCACCACCCAGAACCCATTTTCTGGGGACTTGGGGACCCTGTTCCTCCGGCTCACGTTGTCCCTGCACACGCCCAGGGCCCACAGGGCATCACCGGTGAGGTTCATGCCCACCTCCCAGTAGTGCCTCCCCGAGGAGAAGGTCTCTTGGCCAACCGCACAAGGATAGGCGAGGAACCTGTCCTTGCCACGGGGTGCGCCATCCATCGGGGTGCTCAGGTAGCACCTCTGGCGGCTCTCATACAAGAAGAGGTAGGGGTATGCCGTGGAGGGGTCAGGCACCACATCCTCTGGAGACAGGCCCAGGGTGGAGGGGAGAGGGGAACATTTCAGGGTCAGTGTGGGGAGGGCAAGACCCTAGCAGGGACCGTTCATCCTAACCCCCACCCAGGCCTCCCTTTGGCTGAGTTCAGCTGTGAAGCTGGAGTTAACTGCGTGATCCTATTATATCCCAATTGTGGATATTGGCGGTGCCAAGGAGATGGGGCTGGGGTACCATTTGGGGAACCCCTCTCCTATTGGTGGCTCTTGCCTTGAGTGGCTGAGAGCAGGGTGAGGCATTGCCAAGAGCCCCTGGGCCCCCACTTACCTTGGAAACTCTTGAGGACCTCTATCTGCCCTGGGACCCTACAAATGGTCTTCAGTATGATGAAGGTAGCCTCTGGGTACTGCACACTCAGGCTGTTCTTCCTCCAGTGGATACAGGTCTCACTGTTCCCTCCGGCCACACTTCCAGTCCTCTCTGCGCCCATCACCACCCCCCACCGCAGGTGGTACTCACCTGCTGAGGAGGCTTTTCATATCCTTCAAAAGACATGGAAGAAAGCAGAGAGACTGGGGGGTCTGTGGTGTTCCCAAGCACCCCGTGTTGACATTTGGCCAGAAGAGCTAGAAGGGCTTTATGTGTTGCCATGGCCCCATTTCCAGTTTCTACAGAGTAATCCTGTCTTGGCTATGCACAGCATCATTTATCTGACTTGCCCAGGCCTCCTCTTCCCCATCACAATGAAGGAGGACGCAGGGAAGCTGCCCAGCTCATGACACACCATGAAGGCCTCTGTGGGCCTCGGGCCTTGAGTGGGTCAGGAGCCAGTTTAGTGGGTTGCAAACAGATTACATTTTGATAAAAGGCAAAGTATTCCCCTAAAGGTAGAGACAGTGTATAATCTGTTGTCAACACCAGACACTTATTGGCAACAGAACCCACAGGATGCTGGGATAACAGGCATAAAAGTGACTGACGCAGGCATACTGGGAGATCTAGATACCCTGCATGTGGCATTTGCTTCAGTTGTATAAACACATTCCTGTGAGTACGTGTATAGTGACTCGCAATGTGAAATGTGTTTTTTTGCTGTGGAGTCCCTCGCTGTGCACACTTGAACCAGTTACCCACTTTTCAGCCAATATAAACTGCCCCTTTCCGGGCCTCCATGTGCAGGCCTGTCCCTGCTAGGCCAGCTGCACCCTCCCCCACGTCCACAGCTGGCCCGTGCGATCGTGTGACTTTCTCTTGCCTGTGAAGTCACCGGCGCCTCTCTGGGGCCAATATGCCCAGGCCCTGCATCATTGTGTGGACAGCAGCTGCCCTCAAGCCACATCCCGGGGCTATGAAGGGGATGAGCACAGCCCAGCAGGACTGAAGCCTGTGGTGGGCTGAATTGGCTCCCTCCCCAGATTCATCTATTGTGGAGCTCAAACCCCGAAGTACCTCAGTATGAGTGTATCTTTAAGATGTGATTAAGATAAAATCAGATCGTTTGGGTGGGCTGTAATCCAGTCTGACAATGTCTTTATAAAAGGAGGCTATCAGGGCGTAGACTGTATACAGAGGAATGACTCTGTGAGGACCCGGGGAGAATATGGCTTATAAGCCAAGGAGAGGTCTCAGGGGAAACCAACTGTGCCCACAACTTGAGCTCAGACTTCCAGCCTTCAGGAGTGTGAGAAAGAAATGTGTGTTGTTTAACCACCCCCCGCCCCCCACCCGGCCTGTGGTGTTTGTTACACAGCCTGAGCTGATTGAGACAGAGCTTTCCCTGTTGGCCTGAATCTGTTGCCACAGGTCAGCCCACCCTGACTGCACCTGAGCCGGAGCTCAAGCCCCCGTCCACCACCCCCAGCCAGGTACACAGGCATGCCGCCTCACCTGCAGCATCTGGAGCGGAGTGCGCTCATTCCTGTCCTCCAGCTGCAGGAGCAGCCTCTCTAAGGAGTGACTCTGCTGCTTCAGAGAGGCTGTGCTCTTCTGCAGTTTGGCCACTGTCTCCTCCTCCTCCTTCTTCAGGGCCTGGAGCAGGCGCTGCTTCTCCTCCATCAGGAGGAGGCCCATCTTCTCAAACTCGACCATGATGCGCTCCCTCCGCTCCTTCACCTTCTCCTGTGTGGGGGCCAGCCAGGGACCTACCACCCCTAGTGCCTGCTTTCAGAACCCACCCACCAACCCCACACACCAGCTTGGGAGGGCTGCTCTGGCAACAGTGGCACATCTCCCCTGGATCCCAGTGACCCACAGAAAACCAGCCAACCAGGCAGGGCTGGGAGTCAGGGATCACACAGAGGCCCCCCTGAATGTCACTGGGGCACAATTTTACTCTAAGCCCCAAATGGCAACATCCAAGCGCCTGTGTGCCCTTGCTCCCTGCATCTTTGAAATGACCAGCCTGTGCTGAGGGCACCGTTCTCAGTCCTGATTTGGCAGGAATTCTGGGAAAATCATTGCCTTTCTGGGGTCCTGTGTTCTCATCCACACAGGACAGTGATTTCCCCCCTCAAGGGGCTTCACAGGTCAGGAGGCCTGTGGGGACCCAGCTGGGCTTTCCCCACCATGCCCGGCTGCCGGGTGTGGTGGCCTCGGCACCTACCTGCCACTCGGCCAAGGTCTGTTCCTCCTTGGCCTGCAGCTCTCCAGTCTTCATCATCTCCTCTCGAAGGTACTCCATGTCCTCCTCCAGCTTCAACTGTGGTGCACCCAAACCATGGGATTTGGGGTCAGTGGGCCCCCTGCATGCCCCACATCCAGACAGTGCCCTCTGAAGCTGCATCCACCCTGAACCATCCTAATGGGGTGCAAGGGATGGAAATATGCTACCCCAAAATCTGTCCCTTTGGCAGAAGGATTATTTTGAGCTGGAGGCAATTAAGAATCAACAGATGCAGAAAGATGCCTTCCAGGGGCTCCCATTATCTGACCAGAAGCATCTTACTGGGGACAGTTGCCCATGAAGAAGATGGAAAGTTGGTGTCAAGATGAACCTACATAAAAAAACCCCATCTTCCTTTACTTTCTCCCTGTATATATATATTTCTGTTATGATCTGAATGTTTGTGTCCCTCCGACATCCAAATTCATATATGGAAGCCCTAACTCCCAATGTGATGGCTGAGGTGGGGCCTTTGGGAGCCGATGAGGTCATGACAGTAGGACCCACATGAATGGGATTAGTGCCA